GGGGGGGGGGGGGGGGGGGGGGGGGGGGGGGGGGGGGGGGGGGGGGGGGGGGGGGGGGGGGGGGGGGGGGGGGGGGAAGGGGGGGGGGGGGGGGGGGGGGGGGGGGGGGGGGGGGCGTAATGAAAACTGTTGAACTTATCAAAACAAACAAACATAATAATAATCAATCTACACTGCCAAATCAGCATGCCTTGAGAATAAAGGTTGTGGCGAAGTTTGTTTGTTTAATTCTTAGATTTGCGGTGGCTATTTGACATTACGATACGTGGACTGATGTCCAAGTCGAATCGCGTGCGAGAAACAAAAAGATGTTTAACGAATGACTTGTGATTTAAGTGTGGTCACTGGTCTTTAGCTTTCTTGGGTAAAGAAATCCAAGTAATCGATGATCGCGTAGATTGGTGATTATATGGAAGTCACAGCCTTCTTCAACTTGAAGCCCAAAAGGTATTTTAGAATAATGATAATAATAGTAAAGGAGAAGAAGAAAAAGGAAAATTCCGAGAACTCGAAATATGTTCACTCGCATGCAAACATTATTTCATAGATACATGCACGCACGCCCAGGAAAAAAGCCTCAAGTCTCAGATTTCGATGACCCACTTTGCCTCAAAAATTATAGAGGCGGCGGCGACTATCCGATAATCGTTACCCGCAAGACAGAGAGGAAGTCGTTGCGTGCATTCGTTCGTTGGTCTTGGTTTCTTCTGGTTTAGTCTTGGTGTTCGTTCGTTCATTCATTCGCTCGTCACAATTTATGGCGTCGTATTTTTTTCTTCTTCTCTTATACTCGTGTCTGTCATACACACAGTACGTACATCAAATGACAAGTTGACGGCCGACCACCCTGATTCAGAGTTTCCAATTAAGGGACGGGAAAAATTTTTTTTGTAAAAACAATTAGTTATTTCCAAATCCACACGAAAAATAATGCTAAGCCTAGGTACGTACGTGTTCTTTGTCTTATCATATGGACCATTCGCTTTTAGTCCGATGGTCTAACGTACTACACATTTTACAGGAAATCGGGTGATACAAGGTTTTTTTTTTAATTATATTAAATCCCAAGGATTGAAGATTTGAAACGAGGTGGCGTTTTATTTTTACCAAAAGATATTGTTTGAAAAGAAAAAAAAAAAAAGTTTTTTTTGTTTATGCGATTGTTTCCTGAATTTTTTGTGTTTACCAATCAAATAAATCTATCAGGTAATATTGTTTTCACGGTCAAACACGACGGTAGCAATGAATACTCAAGGTTTCTTTTAAGGTACCATATAAATTCCTCAATAGGATCGATCCTTCCTTCCCAAGCAATGAACCGTGGTTCTTTTTTGTGACTCCGATGTTTCTATTTAACAAATTTAGATCGTGAGTCACGAAGAGTGTCACTATTCGCTTCTCTCGTGAGCTAACAGGAAGTTGGTGGAACGGTGACGCGAACCGTCTTTTCAAAAAAGAAGTATTTGCCTGTGTATGAATTAATTAAAAAAAGAACTCTGGTTTAGAACCTCCAAATTGTTTAACCGTATTCATTTATTTATGCATGCATGCATAAAAAGCTATCTATCACCTTGTGATCCGGTTTTGAAATGTTTAATGTTATTTCCTATTTCCGTTGTGTATATGTGCGCGTAATCCTTTTTTTCTCGATTACATTTATACAGTAATTACGCACATCGTAAGCCTCTTCGGTCTGTGAAGTCTGCAATAATGTATTTGTTTGCTTATTTTGCTTTCGCCTCATTCCATCCTCTTGCAAACATGTGGTAACAATGTGATCGAGATTAGCCCTCCTTGACATGCGACAAGACACCCGCTTTCCTATTCGAGCATCGATCACTTGGTGAACGAAACTTTCTCTCTCGGAATTTCGTTTAGGGGACGTTCGCCGCCGCGTTCTCCTGACCAGAGGTCCGCAGCCGAATGAGATGTTGTTATACATTCACCATTCCTGAGATTAGGTGAATGACCTGACCGACCGCAAATAGATCATAATGACATCAAGTTTCTCGCGTGCGGATTCGTGGTTTCCGGAATTAATTGATCGAGTTCTCTTTTGGGAATAGCATCATCCCACTAATTTTCTATTACCACGGCCCCATCCATCCACCAAAGACGATATAAATAGAGTCCTAGACTAATAAGGAAACGGCGGTCGAAAGAGATGAGGCATTGTAGGGTACGTACCATATGCGCTCATAAAATGTGTGGCTTGATCAACAAAATAAACAATTAAACACAGCCCTTGATACCTGGTAATACATTTGATTACATGATGCACAAATCACACACAAATCTGACGATGTACATGGGCTGTGCTTGCCAAAAAAAAATTAGTAAATTTTTCTTTGTATTGTGGTCGCTAAATCCGAAAAAGTCAAAATCAATTGTCTCAGCCTCCTTATTCAACACAAATGATTAACCGCGTGTGACACACACAACGTACTTAAAGATTAGTAGTACTGTACATGAGCCTTCCCGTCTTCCCTTTTGAAAAAACGCGTGTGAAGAAGTTCACTCGAATGATGGATCTGATTCATTTACTGTACTCACGACCCACACAAACCACCCACCCCACACATCCTGTGGCTTTTTATTTCTACCATGGAACTGCGAATATGCTGACTTTGCCACATCCGTCGGTCCGCCCTTCGGTTGAGGTCACGAAAACATGCATCGTCATGACGAACGTCAGTGTTCTCGAACAGGTCGAAAAATTATTGCCGAGCTCCAGGTGCGTGTGATATCACGAAAGGAAAGGCATTCTCGTGGGTGAGTTGCGTGTGCAGCGTTCATCAACGAGTGAGCCCTTTTTCTTTGGAATGTGTATGCGTGTGCAACCGATTCGTGCCTAGAACATTCTATCTTCAGGATCGGGATTACCCTACACCGAAATGAGAGGGGTAATAATAATCTTGGGTCGCACAGAAGTTACCTGATCTTGGATCCAAAGGCATTAAGAATTCGTAGCCAGTGACCATCAGGTTTTCTTCTTCACCCTTAAGACGTTTTCGTACTTGCGCGTGGCTTTAATGCGCTTACTGCACAGATCAACAATCATCCAAAATAAGAAGTAATTTCGTTCTGTAACAAGATATAAATATTTATTTACAAACAAATCAACTTTCGACCACGATATCACCGATATACATAATACTGTATGTACGAATGTGCGCACAATCGGTGGGAGATTATTGAGAGGTCATTCATGAGTTGTCGGTTTTGCAATAAAGGAAAATCACAATCGCCTTACAAAATGGTGATTATACGATAACAGGTTGTGCTTAATGAAAAAACTGTCAAAGTTACAAAAAAAAGATGGTGGTACAATCGGAATGGTGTGGTTTCAAATATTGACTTTTTAGGTTTTTAGATATCGAATGACCTTAAAAATATTGATAGCGAGCACCAATTTGTACTCCACAAAAGGACGGCAAAGCCAGTAGAAATTTATGGACCCACCTCATACACGAACGCCTTTCCTTATTAACGTTAGCTCTGGCCATCCGGCCGGCATTGAATGAGGGATGACGGTGACATCAACTCGCGTGCAGACCAGGAATACACCGGATTGTTACACCTGCATGCGAGATTAGAACGATGCGAATAGTTGAAATTAAGGCGGCGGTAAGCAGATTGAAAAAAAAAACGGGGGGAACTCACCAGGCACCTTTATTTCGTGGGTGAATTCGAGATCATAATCTTGGGGATGGATGATTTTTGATTGATTTAATTGATTTTAATAAATTTTTGTTGACAGATCATAATAATAATTCAATTTAACAGTATAATTCACGATCTCTTACTGAATAAGGCGTTGTACCGCTGTTCTCTTCCAATGTTTCGTGGAATACGTGTTTAATATTTCGCAAGGAGACTATGGTGGGTGAGAAGTGACGTGAATGACATGAAAGAAATGTGAACTCTTTCCTTTTTACCTGCCGTGCCCTCATTGAATCCTTTTGCTCGTGCTCGGATGAATTACATACATTTCCTGCCTAGTTCTGGTTTTTTTTTTTTTTAACCGCATTCTCCAGTATAACCGAGCGCATTCCATCCTGCACCTCTTCCCTGCATCTGACTCAGTTCTTCATCAACAAACAGTTAAAGATCGTTTTTTTTTTTTGGTAAAGACGCAGTGCAACCATTCTAGTAAGTTCTCAAAAAAAAAAAAAAAACCCCTGGATTTCCTTCGATCAACTTCGCTCGCAGCGGTGGTTCAAACATCGGCAATGACGTCATCTCTCACAAGATTTTGCTAATTTTGCGATGGTGCGACCAAAGAAAATTCGAATTCCCCAAAATTCTTTCAAACAATGCAAGGCCATTCATCCGGTAACCCGAGGAGGCAAGATTGTGAATTGCAAAAAAAGAAAGTGAGAATGGTCGACGATGAAAGGTGGTCCATTCTGCCAATTTTTATGATTTTTATGCACCTTTTTTTTTTTTTGTCTATGGAGTTTCCAAAGTTTTGCATCTGCACGAAAATACTCAAACTTAACTTTCTTGGAGAACAACGATTCTGTTATTCAGCCACAAACAACAGCCGATTTTCGGCATGTTTTAAG